GAGCCCCGCATCGGGCTCCCTGCTCCGCCCTCTCCCACTCCCCCTGCTTGTGTTCCCTCTCTCGCTGTGTCTCTCTCTGTCAAATAAATAAATTAAAAAAAAGTGCCTAGTGTAACTGAAGAACTAAATTTTCTTTTTTAATTTAAATATAGTCTTTTTTAAAAAAAGATTTATTTATTTGAGAGAGAGAGGGAGGGAGAGCACATGAGCAGGTGAGGGAGGGGGCAGAGGAGAGAGAGAAGCAGACTCCCCACTGCACAGGAAGCCCGATGCAGGGCTCGATTCCAGGACCCCGAGATCATGACCTAAGCCCAAGGCAGATGCCCAACTGACTGAGCCACCCAGGTGCCCCATAAATGTAAACAGTCTCTTAGAACCAGTAGCTACTATACTGAACAATAGAGTTCTACAGTCTGGAACTGAAAAGAATTTCCCTTCTTTCCTTGGGTTATGTTTCTCTTCTAGGTCTGTCTTTGCATGCTAGGTTCTTCTGTTGTTTTCGCAATAGTGTTTGTCTAGTTGCCAAGTCATTTCTTTTCCTTTCCATCATGCTTGAATTGCTCTGTCCATGTTAGATGCTCTGATATAATATGTTGACTCTTTCTCCCAGTATCTGACATCAGTTCATTTTTTCCTCAGAAAAAGACAGGCTTTCCTGTAACCAAGAGGAAAGATAGGGGTAGGGAGCAGGAGGAGGGAGGTAGATAGGTGGTTTCAGCTGAAACAGTATGCTGTATTTGTTGGAATTCCTAGACTGGGAGATTCTATTCATTATTTTATATCAGGATTTATACCACCTACTTGGCAGGTTTCTGGGGAAGGACGTGGCTTATACCACTCCCACAGACCAAGAAAATTTCCTTTGTAGAGAATGAGTCCTACTGTTCACTTTCCCCACTTCCCCTGTTTCCCCGCTTTCCCTATTCCTCACTCAAAAGAGGAAAAAATCTAAATATCTACTCAATGTACTTCTCTCTAGTTTTGAGAATATAGGTGAAAATCCTCAGGGTTTGGTCAATTCACCAATATGGATTTTGGTTGTAGGGCAAGGTAGAAGCTAAACTATGCTGTGGCCCCCACCCCCCAGCTGAGCTAAAGAAGTACACTGCATTAAGTTATACTTCTTCCTTACTGCTGTAAGTTTCTTTTTTTTTTTTTTACTTACTGATTTGACTGCTTTTTACTCATTCTATGCAAAATTCCAATTGCCCATTTTAATCTGAATATACCAGGTTAACAGAGCTTCTAGGGGCACCTAGTTCAGTTGGTGGTGCATGCAACTCACAGTCTCAGGGTTATGAATTCGAGCCCCACATTAGATATTATTTTTAAGTAAAAAATAAAATCTTAAAAAAAAAAGAGTACTTCTTACTACTTTAAACCTAATTGAATACAAGACTAGTTTGTTTTGAGCCTAGAAATGACTATCTGTGCACAGTGGATTAGAATAAGAAAACTGGAAATACAAGTACCATTTAAAACCAGTATGGTAATTCTAAAAGAGGAGATGGGGCCCTGGCCCAGCATAATCCCTCTTGTTCATTCCTTTGCGGTCTATACTCCAGCCATATGAACATTCTTCCAGGTCCTTAAATGTATCAGGTAGGTTTTCCCCTGCCTAAGGTCTTTGACATACTCTTCCCCTCGCCTGAAATACCCTTTCCCCTTTCTTTACTTGGTAAGAAAGGGGAAAGGAGGCTTGCCCTAATCCCCCAAATTAGGCTAGCCCCCTGTAGTGTGTTTTCATTTACACTACTTTTCCTTCAGGCCATTAATCACAGTATATAATTCACTCCACTTATCAAATATGTAATTATATATTTGGCCATTATTTCATTAATGCTGCTTTGGCCACTAAATTCTAAAATCTAAGAGGGCAGAGACAGTCTTTGCTCACAAATGTCTAATGGCTGGGAAATCATTAGAATATTACTTAGCACAAAATACTCAATAAATGTGGAATGAATGAAGGAATGAATGGGTAATTGGGTGACTTAATAAAGGATAACTCAACTTTTGATTCCAGGTGACACTAGCAATCTGACAGAAAGTTAAGAGGAAAAACTGAGGGAGTGTCAAGGCAATTCAATGCGGGAAAGGATAGTCTTCTCAACAAATGACAACTGGATATTCATATACAAAAAAATAAACTTGGGCCCTTACCTCACATCATATTTAAAAATTACTCAAGACGAATCAGCAAACTAAATGTGAAAGGAAAAACTATAAAATTTTTAGAACAAAAAACCAGGAAAAGCTCTTTAAAGCTTGGGGCTGGGGCGCCTGGGTGGCTCAGTCAGTTAAGCTACTGCCTTCAGCTCGGGTCATGATCTCACGGTCCTGGGATCGAGCCCCTCATCAGGCTCCCTGCTCGGCGGGGAGCCTGCTTCTCCCTCTCCCTCTGCTGCTCCCCCTACTTGTGCTCTCTTGCTCTCTCTCTGTCAAATAAATAAAAATAAAATCTTAAAAAAAAAAAAAAGTTTGGGGCTAGACAAAAATTTTTAAGATATAACACCAAAAGCACAGTCCATTAAAAAAATTTTGACAAATTGGACATCATCAAAATTCATAACTTTTGCACTTCAAAAAACAGCATTAAGGAAAAAAAAGACAGCATTAAGAAAATGAAAAAATGTCAAAGACTACAAGAAATATTTGCAAAACACATCTAATAAAGAATTTGTATCTAGAATTTACAAACTCTTCTAATTCAATAAGACAAACCTAATAAAAAAAATTTAAAAATTAAAAAAAAAAGCCATTTCACCAAAGATATCCAAATGGCATAAAAGATGCTAAACATCATTAGTCATTAGGGAAATGCAAATCAAACCCACAATGAGATACCACTTCACATCCACCAGAAAGGCTATAATCAAAAAGACAGACAATAATAAACACTGGTGAGCATGTGGAAAAATTAGAACCCTCATATGTTGCTGGTGGGAATATTAAATGAGGCAATCACTTTGGAATGCAGTTTGGCAGTTCCTCAAAATGTTAACAAATTACCATAAGACCCAGCAATTCTACCCCGTACCTACCCAAGAGGAATAACACATTTCCAAAAAAAATGTGTACACAAATGTTTATAGTAGCATTATTCAGAATGGCCAAAAAGTGGAAACAATCCAAATATCTATCAAGTGATAAAATGGATCAACAAAATCTGGTATAGTTAAACAGTGGAACACTGTTCAACAATTTAAGAAGAATGAAATACTGATATATACTAAAACATAAATGAACCTTGAAAACATAACTCTAAGAGAAAGAAGTTAACATAAAAGACCACATTCTGTATGATTCTATTTATATGACATGTCCAAAAAGGGCAAATTTATGGAGATCTGCCTGGGAATAAGAGTAATTAATTGGGGGATTAAATCTAAGTAGCCAAGAGGAACCTTTTAGGAATGATGAAAATGTTCTAAAACTGGAGTATGAAGATAGTTCTACAACTCAGTAAAGCTATTAAAAATCATTGAATTGTACATTTAAAACATCAATTTTATAATATATAAATTATGTTTTGATCAAGTTAATTTTGTTTTAAACTAGGGGAGCTGGGGGATGCACACAGGAGAGCAGCAGTATTGAGTTTTAGACCTGCTCAAGCTGTTAACATGATGGCGAAGTGTCTGGGACAATCAGAAGCTTGACAGAAATACTATAGAGACCTAGTAATACAGATTTTGGAGTCACCAGGAAAGACATGACAAAGGGACTTTTATACATGTCTTCAACTCTGTACAAATCAATCTACCCTGAAAAGATTTTCACTTGACTATGCTAATTTTCTATTTTTCCTTTTCAAAGTTCTTCAACCAATGATCTTTATCCATTGCTTTCATTTCTTCCACTACCCCATTCTTTTTTATTCACTCAAAGTCTGTGTTCCTTCCTTACCTCATTGTTGAAGCTATTCTCTCAACTAATGATACCCCATTTTCAAAACCAATGGCCTTTACTCCCATTCTTTTTAACTTACTTGCAAGAAGCCTTGTCCAACTCTGACCCATGAAACTCATCTCTTAGCTTTTATTACCTTATACTATTTTTAGACCTCTTCCCACTTCTCTACTTGTTTTATTTACCAAATACTTTTACCTCCCACCCTCACTCACACTTTATCAAAATAAGGAAGAACTTATGCTCCAAAAACAAACGAGAATTTGGTATTTATCTCTCTCTTCTTCTCACAAAATCTGTTTATTAACCCCAACCAGCTTCAAGTTACCATAGTGTCTTCATCTCCATTTATTGTCCTTATGGTATTTTTCAGGCCTTTGTTCTACTTTGCCAATAAGAAAATAAATTCAGAGAATATTAACTTGGCTTTTCCAATTTTGTGACCACCAAAAGCAATCCATGCAGAATTATATGTACAATGAAGGGAATTCAGTATCTGTTTGTAACTCATTAAAAAACAAATGGGATTATCCTAAGCAGATCCCTAGGAAGATATTTTTCCCAGTCCGAAAACTTTATTTTAAACATAATTAGAGGGTGCCTGGGTGGCTCAGTCAGTTAAGCATCTGCCTTCAGCTCAGATCATGATCCCAGGTTCCTGGAATCAAGTCTAGAATCCAGCTCCCTGCACAGCAGGGAGTCTGCTTCTCCCTCTGCCCCTCCCCTCTACCCCCCTGCCCATGCTCCTGCACGCTCACACTCTCTCAAAAAATAAATAAATGAAAATCTTAAAATAAATATAAACATAATTAGAAAACTAAGAACTCTGTGTGATCTTTTCATACATACATTTAAAGGTATAACAGTTTCCTGGCAATTAACTTATGCTCAGATGACTAATAATATTCAAATTAAAAATGTTAAAGTTCTAGAAAGCCAACTAAAATTTCTCAATTTTAAAATTTGGTATCACAAAGCACAAAACTATAAATCTCAAGTAACATCTACAAACACGCAGCTCTAGGCTATTCTCCTATAGACTGTTTCAGTCAAATTTTATTATCTTCAAAAAATTAATAATAACTTACCAAATCCCAAAGTCCAACTTGCCCAGATTTGGCCCCAGCTGCCACCAAAGTTCTAATTTCTGATGGGTGGAGAGCCACAGAAAATATTGCGCCTTTGGTAACTTTATGAACAGTATCTTCATTAATGACCATGCCACTTAAATTGGCTTTATAGCTGAGGAATAAAAGTTAAATTTCAGAAGTAAAACCAATCAGGAGTCAAAATAACTAAAAGATGACTCAAAAAAGAAAAGAGACACAATTAGTAAATAGTCAACCTCCTAATAACCAAGGAAATCAAATTAAATAATGGGATACTATTTTTCACTTATAAAAGGTAGCAGGATGCAGTTAAACATATACATTCATTAACAGTCCTAGTGGCAGAGTAAATTCATACAAGATTTTCAGAAGAAAAAAAGATTTTAGAAAACAATTCAGCAATGTATACTAAAAGCCATAAAAATGTCCATGATATTTGACTCATTAATCTCACTTCTGGAATCTATCCTAAAGAATTAACCCACAGGGCGCCTGGGTGGCTCAGTTGGTTGAGCGACTGCCTTCGGCTCAGGTCATGATCCTGGAGTCCCAGGATCGAGTCCCGCATCGGGCTCCCTG